AAATAAAATTTAAAAAAAAAATTGGGCAGGGGAGGCTGAGGCAGAAAAATCACTGTGCGCTCAAGGTCAACTTGAATTCCATGTCCAGACCCCATCTCAAAAAAAAAAAGAAGGCTGGAGATATAGCTCAGTGGCACGGTGCCTGCCTGGCAAGAGAGAGGCCTTAAAAGACAGCAAAACAAAACAAAACAAAAGGGGGCCGGGGAGATGGCTCAGTAGAATAAGCACTGCCTAGCAGGCGCAAGGGCCTGAGTTCTATCCCCAGTTCCACACCAAAAAAAAAAAAAAAAAGAGAGAGAGGCCTTGAGGTTGATTTCCAGTGCCTACCACTTCAAAAAAATTGTCTCAACATCCAGAGTTTCTTTTCCCTTCACCTTGGCACAGGCAAATGCTCAGGAGACAGTATGACCATCCAGTTAGCAATGAGGGGAACAGCAGAAACTGAGGGGTCAGCTGTAACTCCTCCAATCTCCCATCACCACAACAGCCTGTACCAAATCGGTCCATTTGATAAGACGACTTGAGTTTTTCCACCCCCTCCAACTCCACGGCACTCACCCTTGGTCCAAGTAAGCACTGAATTGTCTCTTGTTTGGCCTATTATACTAGGCTACTTACTGACTTATCTCTTTGGATCTGCTCTGGTCTAATCTCTCCAGGTGGCCCACAGTCTGGATTAAAAACAAGAAAATCACCCCTCCTACATGGGCTTCGTATAATGAGGTCCTACTTTTGTAGGGTGAAGACCCAAAGGCTTGAGGTGACCTCAAGCTCCCACATGGTCTGGCCTCCCTCCTTTTTCATTCTCCTGAAGTGCCTTTCTCGTCCTGATACCCCTGAACTGTCCTCCTCCCCTCTGCTTCCTTTTCTGTTCTCCTCCTCCTTTTTCTCCTCTTCATCTTCTTCCTCCTTTTTCCTCCCCCTCTTCGTCTTGCTTCCTTCTCCCTCCCCCTCCCTCTGGTGCTGGGGTTCTCTGCCCTTGGATGCTCTACACTGAGCTACATCTCTGGTTCTAGCTCTTTTAATTTTTATTTTGAGACACGGTCCCACTAAATTGTCCAGGTGGGGTTTGAACTTGATCCTTGGGCCTGCTAATGTGCTATTTTCTGGTGCAGGCATGTACTAATGTGCCTGGCTGCACTGGTCTTCCTGTTTCTGAGTGCTGTTATACTACAGTTTACCCAGGGCCTTCGCACATGAAACTTCCTACACTGGTTCCTAATTAAAAAAAAAAAAAAAAAGAGTTCATCTTTCATATCTCTAGGTGATGCTTCTCCAGTGTGACCCCCCCCCCCCCGCCTCACTATGTAGTGCAAGTGCAAGCTGACCTTGAGCTCACTATGTATCCCAGGCTGGCCTCAAACTGACAGCCATCCTCCTGCCCCAGCTCCTAGTGCTGGGATTATAGGTATGTTTCTTTTTGGCACTGGGAATCGAACTCATGACCTTGTGCTTACCACGCAGACACTTTGTCACTGAGTTATCTCCCCGGCCCTATTTTATTAAAATAGAATACAGCAGTTTGTATTTTCCTTGATGGTATTATTTGGTTACTACCTTTCTTCTCACTACTTTATGAGCCATGCCCATTTTGCTTACCAGTGTGTTCTCAGGGCTGTGCTTAAGTGGTCAATAAATATTTGTAGAATCTCCGAGGAGCCAAGAGGTAATGCAGGAGAGGGGGCAGGGGAGGAAGTGGGAGAGGCTATGAGGACGGGGTCAGGAAGGGCCTTGTCGACCACAGAGAGTTTGTACTTCCCTGGTTCTCAGGGGACTTTATGTGCTGGGAGACAGCTATGAATGCAGGCGCCCCAAATCTGCAGGATGATTCTCCCAGGTGGGGTCTGAGCCTGTATTGGCCGCAAGCTCTGTAGGATTCACCCGGCTGCGGCAGCGGTCGTGGCCATGGCCGGAAGCGAATGGTTTTACCCGGCCCGCGTCGCTTCTCTCCGCCGCTCCACCCAAGCCTTGGTGCTCATGTTCGCGGCCTTCTGCCACAGGCTGGTGCTCCTGCTCACCGCCGCGCTCATCTTCTTCGCCATCTGGCACATTATAGCGTTTGATGAGCTGAAGACTGACTACAAGAATCCTATAGCGCCGTGTAATACCCTGAATCCTCTGGTCCTCCCCGAGAATCTCATCCACGCGTTCTTCTGTGTCATGTTTCTCCGTGCAGCAGAGTGGCTCACGCTGGGTCTCTGTACGCCCCTCTTGGCGTGCCACATTTGGAGGTACATGAGTAGACCGGTGATGAGCGGATCAGGACTCTACGACCCCACTACCATCATGAACGCAGACATCCTAGCATGCTGTCAGAAAGAAGGATGGTGCAAGCTAGCTTTTTACCACCTAGCATTTTTTTACTACCTACATGGCATGATCTAAGTTTTGGTGAGCTC